CGGGGGGGGGGCAGAGGGGGGCGGGCAGCAGCACAGGGAAGCGACTAGCTGAATATTGACTTGACTAGTCACTTACATTCCCTAGACCAGACTGGTGCCAAAACAGAATTTGCCAAACCACGGGATGTCAATATTTTCTAGCAGCCTTACCAACACTTCCACTGCTTACTGGGCTCTTTGAACATATTTAGGGGTAAATTAGAGCTAAACAAAGAGGGGGGCGGGCAGCAGCACAGGGAAGCGACTAGCTGAATATTGACTTGACTAGTCACTTACATTCCCTAGACCAGACTGGTGCCAAAACAGAATTTGCCAAACCACGGGATGTCAATATTTTCTAGCAGCCTTACCAACACTTCCACTGCTTACTGGGCTCTTTGAACATATTTAGGGGTAAATTAGAGCTAAACAACAACACAGAACACAGAGCCAGGACTAGTGGCTGTAAAAAAACTTTATGGGACTGCGAGAAACTTGGCCACACCCACAAGTGGACATCCAGCTAACTAAAATTATGCTGGACCACGGATGTTGCCAGACCAGAGAGCTGGACTAGAGAGGTTAGAACGTAAGACCGTAAGCACAGCCATACTGGTCTAGCCCAGTACCCTGATTTCTGACAGTGGCCAATATCAGATGCCCCAGAGGGAGTGAGCAGAACAGGGAATCATCAAATGAGCCCTCCCCTATTCCCAGCCTCTGACAGGCTAGGTTCAACCTGTAGTAGAAGTAGTAATTCTTCCACTCTACTCCTTGCCCATTAGGCCTTATCTGGAATATTTTGTCCTGTTCTGGGAGCCACATTTTGGGATAACTGTGGACAAACAGGAAAGAATTCAGAGAACAAAAAAAAAAAAAAATGATTAATGGTTTATGCCAGGGCTCCTAGCCTGACAATTGAAGAGGGGTCAATGGAACTGGCTTATCCTACCAGTGGTCACATGTGGGGAATGGCACCTAGATCCTTCCCTTGATGGCATTTGATACCGTTGGTATGGAGAGCCAATGGCACTAAGCATGGGCCTGCCCCTAGAGCGAGGAGTCACAGAGGCCTGGGTGACTGTCACTGGCAGAGTCATTATCTCTTGAGCAGCCTGCAGGGCCTCTGGCATGGAGGGCACCTGAATGAGGCTCAGGGTCCTACTCATGTCCAGGAAGGCAGGCACAGAGTGGGCTGAGGTGCACTGCTCTATCTGAGCTAGGCCCCATGAGCCCAAGGTGGACTGAGAGCTGTCCAATGTGGATCTATGCTCACCTGTAGATTTATCCTGATGTTTCCAGGATGGTGGTGAACAACCCCTTGCCATCCTCTTTGACTGTTTCGCTAAAGCCAGAGAGGGGAGCAATACAGGCTGATGGGCAGTACTACAGGGGAACTGTGCACTGAGGCCTTGGTGCTCGGCACAGGGTCTGATTGGTGTGCCGGTGCTGGAGTCAGGCCCAACTCTGTAAGGAAGGCCTGGCTCATTCAATTTGTGATACTCTAACTCCCAGATATTTTTGCTATACTTCTCCCTCACCAGTTAATCCCTATCTTGCATTTCATTTTTCTTTCTTAAGTCAATCACTTTGCATTTGTCTTCATTGAATTTCATCTTGTGGCTAAACTAGAGAACTGGTCTGAAATAAAGTCTTTTGAATTCTAATCCACTTCCAAAGTGCATGAAACTCCTTTCACTTTGGTTCTCATCCACAAATTTTATAAGCATGCTCTCTGCTCCATTATACAATTCATTAATAACAATACTGGGTAGCATCCAACTCAGGACAGACCCCTTGGGAGACCACACTATATACACTGTCAGACTCTGACATGTGTCTAAGGCTAGGAATAAGTAGTTAGAGGAGCATTTAATATTGGCATTAAATAGTGCTCAGATGTCCAACCAGGCCCCATTGTGCTCATTGAGCATCTATGTATCCGGTGTTCCCTCCAACGAAGAGCTAGCAACTTGAGCAAACATATCATATGGGAAAGTGCTCGGGGCTAGCCTGGCCCTGCACACGTGGCACATGCGCTGTGCCGGAGCCGGGCCCGGGAGCGCGGCGAAGTGGCCGCCCGTGCTCCAGGTGCGCAGCACACGGGGAGCGCCGGCCCCGGGTGCACGGCTATGGGGGGCGCCGGCCCCAGGAGCGCAGCAAATTGGCCACCCCAGCTCCCGGGTGCGCGGCTATGGGGGGCGCCAGCCCCAGGAGCGCAGCTATGGGGGGTGCCAGCCCCGGGAGCACGGCGAAGTGGCCACCTGTGTCCCTGGGCGCTGCACATGGGGAGCACCGGCCCCGGGCGCATGGCAAATTAGATGCCCCGGGCGCGCAGCTAAGGGGAGCGCCGGC